AGAATAATTAAATAAGAGTTGATGAGTTCTCCATTCATTTTTCCATCCATTGGCTTGGACCCATTTCCACAGGTGGTGGACCACTGGCCAGTCCTTGATCATCACCTGGATTCAGGCGTAACTTTTTAGCTCCTCATTGCTGTTAAGTTCTGTTTTCTCTTGTTTTGTTTTTGTGACATACATTTGCTTATTTGGGGCATTTCTCCTGGATGCTCCCCTTGTATATTGGTGGCATACTTTTGTATCTGTTTCTATGTCTTTCTTTCCAGGTCTCTTGTTAAAGAGAATATTCAAATTTCTGACTGTGTTTAACACTGACATTTGAATATTCTTCCTTTGTTATTTTAGATGACAGTGTGGCTTTGAGAAAGACTGAACACCCATTATATTTCCTTTAAGTGGCTGCACAGAAAGAAACATTTTGGTCCGTTCCTTAAATGGCCAAGTTTAGTGTGACCAAGCCTCAAAGCATGTTCTTGTCATTATTTCATTTGTATAATAAAAACATGTTTTGGGGAAAACAGTTGGACATCATGAGTACTGTTTCTTACCCCCCAGTCTGGACTGGTTATACCTGAATGTACAAGGAGCCGCTGTATGTTGGATGTGAAGCCAGAAGCCGCCCTGGACTGCATGGGTCCACACTCGTTGGATAGAGTTAGGAAGTCTCCAGTAGCTCTGTGCTTAGATTCTTGCTAAGTGGCACTGGGGTCTCAAACAGGGAGCACTTTGCTGACAGTCCAGACATACTTTGTCTTCAGCACAGCTTTTATGAGGTAAGAATTGTGGATGTGCCATTTTTATTTGAATAATGAACTGAATTTAGTTTAAATTGACTATCCTGATTTAAGATCACAAAATAAAAATATTTAGATAGAAGATTCATCTTGTACTCCCTCATAAAATTCTTTTTGGTCTGTGACACACCATAAATGCAAGAGACTTGTAATTCAGTGTTCGGATGAGTCTAGAGCTTATTAATGTGAGGAAAAGTCAACATTAGGTGAAAGAAGGGCTTTTAAGAAGCCCATTATAACCACTTATAATGGAAAATGTAGTTTGCAATAGAGATTGATTTTATGAGCTCTGGTTCTTCACTGAAGCATGAAGGCTTCTGTGTGTTGCTCTGTGCAAATCATTTTTATAGGATACTTTGCTGATTTCTTTCTGGCTAATCTGTTGATGTGTCTGTAGCGGAAAGGGCTGTATCTGTCTTGTTTAAGGAATATAAAAATCCCCAGAAATTTAAAAGAAACCAAAGATTAGCATATTTCTAAGTTTTCGAGTAGAATATATTAAAAAGAAAAAAGCTTTGCCAGTTCTAAAGAGATGCAGCAGTACCAGATGTCGGTTCTTAGATCATTTAATCCTTTTCTCTTGTGCTTATTTTTGTCAATATTTTTTCACTGGAACTAAATATCTGGCTCAGCTTGCAATATAAAAATATTCCAATTAGATTGTTATGACTTCATTTTTATTCATGAGGTGCAATCTAATAAAGAGAGATCATTGCATACCGTGGTGTGCAGGAGAAGAACTTTAAAATAAACCACCTGGCCCAGGACAGGGTAGAGAGCTTGCATTCTGATCCTTTCTGGAGTCCGAGAGAGGCTGATTTGAGTCTGCATCCCCTGGGAATGCTTGGATTTCTATCAGTTGGCCATATAATTGACCTTACCCCAAGTCCAGAGTAGTTTCTTGCTTAGCTTTTATGTGGATTGTCTTTTTAGTTCTATGTTAGGTATTAAGGAAAATTCAAGGATAATGTGAAACACGGTTTTTGTCTGGAAGGAACTTTCTGTTTGTTTATGGCTGGGGAGGCTAAATGAGGTGGTTTGTCCATTGTCACCCAGTGTATGGTGAAGTGTCTCCAGTAAATGATAGGTGACATGTGAAATAAGCTCCTAAGGAAGAGAGAGCAGTGCGCTCAAGTGGGCAGGGGAGGCTTCAGAGCAGAATTGGGCCTTGTGCTGGATCTGGTTAGGAGGAGGACTGTCGAAAACTTACTTCAAGCCCTGGCTGGCGTAGCTCAGTGGATTGAGCGCGGGCTGGGAACCAAAGTGTCCCAGGTTCGATTCCCAGCCAGGGTACATTCCTGGGTTGCAGGCCATAACCCCCAGCAACCGCACATTGATGTTTCTCTCTCTCTCTCTCTATCTCCCTCCCTTCCCTCTCTAAAAATAATTATAAATAAATAAAATCTTTAAAAAAAAAGAGCTGACTTTAGAAAAAAAAAAAAAAAGAAAACTTACTTCAAGCTTGGGGAGAGAGTAAAAGATGTCCTCCCAGAGGTCTCAATGACCCAGTCCTCCCAGTGCCAGGTGCATTTGTCTTCACCTGCAGGATTATGCTAAAGTACGGGTTGCTATTGATTCCAGACTTTTCCCCCCCTCTACTAGCTCATATCTAAATGCCTCCTGGCTCCACAGTTATTGAAAGGCATTGAAATTTACACAAAACTGGATTTGTGCTGGTTCAACTGCTCCTGTTGAACTAGGGAAACTAGTACCTCTCAGCCTCATTTTAATGGATACCCAGCTTGTAATGTGGTTGTAAGGATTAAAAGAGATAAGGTGGATAATATGTTGAAATGACTTACAGTAGGCAGGCATCGTGATTCATTTGCTTTTCCTGCCTGGTAGCCACTCTTTCCTTCTTGCCTGAATGTGTCTGGCCCTTTTCACATTGTACCTGTGTGCAGGTGTTCCCTCTTTCTGGAATGCTGTCTCTCTCTCTTCTTCTCCTGTTAAAATCCTAACTGCCTGAAGGATTTACTTTAACACCTCAGTCAGAATTGAACTTTGTGTCTTTTGGATTCTTAGTAGTGTTCTTTGGGACAGCCCCAAGTTTCTAACCCTACATTTCAGTTATTTGCTCGTCTTATTTTCCCTGCGTGTTGGTAAACTCGAGGGTAGAGCCCATATCAGAGACATGGAGATAAAGCACTCAGGAGTTCAGACTGTGTTTCCCACACAAGGCCTTCTGCATAGTTGTCGTGGTTGCGGGGTGTTCTCATCATCATATTGTTTTTCCCCCCTTAACGACAACCACATGCTGATGATTTCTAAATCTTTTTCTTTAGCCCTAACTGCACTCCTGTGCTTTGCATGTGATCACGTCTGGTGAATGTCTCCAGCTGAGTGTCCCTGGGGTACCTCAGAGACAACATGTCTAAAGCTGATCTGTCACCTGTTTCTGCTCCCCCGTCCCACACACAGCCTGACCCTTTCCTGTGGACTGCGTTGTATCTGTGGTGTCACAGTCGTCTACCCCGTCCCTGAAACGGCAACTCGGACATCCTTCATTTCTTCCTTCCCCATGTTTATGTTGAACGAGTCGCCAGATCTCAACGACTCTGCCTCCTAAACATTTCTTCAGTTTAGTCCCCCTCTATCTGTGTTAAATACTGCTGCCTTCTCGCTGAAGTAGTTTTACTGCAATTTCTTTCTAAAGATCTACTTCACCCTATGCTCAGTTCTTTTAAGCCCATCTTCTACAATCTGTGCATATCGCTTCCTCATGTAAAATCCTAGAGTGGCTTCCTTTTGTATACATGGGAGGACTTTATTCTCGTGAACCAGCTCTGCTGAGTTTGGTAATGTCTGCTGTGAGTGCTGCCACTGGGTTCAGTGTGATTGCTTGGTGATGTCTGTCAGGTGTGGTGAAGGGGGTGGGCCGCACATAATACATACCTAGGGTGAAGTTCAAGCTCTTTAAGTATGACGTGAAAGCTATTCCTTGCTCCTAATCCTGACCATGTCTTCATCCTCAGCTCCCACTGTTGCCCTGCTTCGTATTTAATCTTGGCGTAGCAGGGAAATACTGGATTGTGTCTTCTTGCTTGTGTTCAAGCTGACCCTGCTCCCCTGTACCCTTAACTAGGAAACCTCTCCCGTCCTTCAGGTCTTGGCGTGTGTGGGGAGTGCGTGGGGTGGTCTTGCCCAAGGCTGAGCGTGCTTCCTCTAGGCTCTAGAGGCACCTGCACCCATTGACTTGAAATCCTGGATGTTTTCCTCACGAGACAGTAAATTCCATTGGGACAAATATCATGTCTTGTTTATCTTTGGTCTCTGTTACTTACCATAGTACCTTCCATGTCATATATATTGTGAATGGTTTATTGAACTGAAATGAATTTGTAAACAACTTGCTGAACATTGTTTGCTTTTACTTTGAAACCCTTTCTGGGTTTAAAGATGGATTTTTAGGAAAGGTTAGTACTCTGCAGGAAATTTAGAACAGTGAACCAGTGAGTAAGTAGACATCGGAAAAATTTGAGCAGGGGTGTGGTGATGAAAGCAGTATTTAAGGAAGATTGATCTGGAGATAACCTTCTATTATGGGTTTAAAGTGCTGCCGGGGAACACAGGTGAGGGGAGCAGGGGCAGGGGCAGGGGCAGGGGCAGGGGTGAGCAGATGAGGCCTTTTGGACCGGCTTCCAGAGACTTTGTGCTTTCACTTCCACTTCCGAGCAGACGGGATGGACTCACTGGCATGTTTCCGAAAACAAAGTGGAACAGTGATGTTATTTCTATTTTTAAAGGAAGAGCATTCCTTTAAAACACCTAACTGATCCCCTTTACATAATGTGTAAGAAACATATTCATTATTAATTACTGAAAAAGTGATGATGAGTTTAAAATTGTAAAAATGATGATTAGCTTCTGCATAGCTGGATAGCTGGTTTAAACTCTTCCAAAGTCAGTGGTTTTCATTTTAGCACATTTTGAAATAATTGTTAATTGTGAGGAAAATACTTCAGTTTCGTTTTCTAGTTGCCTTTTATTTTTCAGTTTAACACCTCCAATCTAATTTCTAGTGTTTTAGTCCCCCAGGGGCTTCTGTATTTCAGGTGACTTGTGGTTGTGTTGACTGGTTAAAGCCTATCTTCCATTTGTTGTGAGCCATGGATGTAGCTCCACTGTCTTATTCTTAATACTGGCCATTGTAAGTGTCTTAATTTACAGTTGCTTTGTTGTTGTTGTTTTTTTTTATTACAGGGTTATGACTCATTGATTAAAAAGAAGAACTTTCCCAACTACTTTGCACTTTTGACTGCATATTATGGATAACAAGGAAGAGAAGAAGGAACGAAAACAAAGTTATTTTGCTCGGTAAGCATTTGCCTTGCAAAATTATATTGGTACTTAAAAAAATTGAGGGGATTTTATCCTATTAAAATTTCTTGTCATTTTCTGTCTTATGACTGTTCTTAAACAGAGCAGGTAGCCAGTAGAAGTTAAATATACGTTGTTTCCTTCTCTGTAGCTTCATTGGTTGAGCTATAACTAAAAATCTATAACATAATTAAAGCCTAATACCTTGTGGGGTATCTATTGTTTAAAAAGTATTTCTGGTTGAGGGATAAAAAAGGTGAAGGATTTAAGCAAAGGAAGAAACTCATAGACACAGAAAAATAAGAAAGTAAACAAACAGATAAATAAAAAGTATTTTTTTTGTAGGAGTTTGGAATGGGTGAAATTCTATCTTTGGTTTCCATGTCATTTTTTTATTAAATACATTTGAATTTTATTGTTGTTCAAGTACAGTTTTATGCCTTTTCCCCCCTCCCCTCCCCACTATGCCATCTCCACCTTTCTCCCCAGTTTCTACCCCGCCTTGTTTTCATCCATGTGTCCTTTATAATTGTTCTTATAAACCCTTCACCCTTTTCTCCTCAACTATCCCCTCCCCTCTCCGGTTACTATCAGTTTGTTCTTCATTTCAATGTCTCTGGTTCTGTTTAGTTTGCTTGTTTGTTTTGTCCATGTCATTTTTAAAGCTTGAACTCGTCCCACATATATGCATTTGTTGGTGTCTGGTACGAGTGAAATAATACATGATCAATTATTGTTTACAGATTTAAACACTCATATGGAAACCACTCACTAAACACAATAAAATCTATGATATGCTAAAACATTTCTACATCATTTTGATCATTGGAATGTTTTCAAAGTCAGAGTGAGAACATAAGCTTAAAATGATCATTATGGTCTCCTAAACTGAAATGCTTCTTAAGAACAGAATTCAGGCTCACCACATCCCGAAACCCAATTTACGCTCATTAAAGAGGCATTTCCTGTTTTCCAAATATAAGCCTTGGAAACCGACAATCAAAGCTCTTTGTTCATGTTTTGATCCAGAAATTAAGCTAGGTTTTAGGTTGTTAATGGGAAAAGGAAGGATATGAATATTTAAGGAACTACTTATTATGTGCCAAGTACTTATTATTTTATCTTCACAATAAACCTGTATCTTAGGTTTTCTCCCTATTTTACGAATGAGGTAGTTAAGACTCAGCAATTATTATGTCTGTTTCATGCCATGTAAGAGTCAATATTCAAATATAGGGTTGTTTCCAAAGGGTGTGTTCCAATTAGTTATAGTAGACCCTTAATGAGAGGTTTTGGAAAGCAAGAGCAATTAGTTTTTCACTATTAAGATTATAGAGAGTAAAAAGATTGTTTGGGCAAGGAAGACATCAGCCATCAAATAGGTGAAACATTAGAAAGATAGGACACTTAGAGTAAATGAGAACTGTATAGTGATTTTTAAACACACTTTATTTTGAGATAATGATAGATTTGCATGTAGTTATAAGAAATAATACAGAGATCCTGTATTCCCGCCATGGTGAGACCTTACATAACTATCCTATAATATTACAACCAGAAAATTGACATTGATACAATGCACTGACCTTATTCAGATTTCACCAGGTTTCACAAACTCTCATTTATGTATGTTTGTGTTTTATGTGTATTGATTTTGTGCAGTTTTATCACATGGGTAGCTTCGTGTGGCCACCATCACAATCGAGATGCAGAACAATTCTGTCAAAAAGATCCCATGTGCCACCACTTCGTGGTCATATTCACCTCCTTTCCCCTGTCCTCCACCCCTCACCGTCACTAATCCGTTTTCAGTCTCTGTAATTGGAGATTTCAGAAATATTACATAAGTGGAATCATATAGTATATGACCTTTTGTGATTAGATTTTTTTCCCCTCAGTAAAATTCTTTCGATGTCTCAGTTCGTTCAGACAGTTGTAGCAAAATATCACCCACTGAGTGGCTTGTAAACAACAGAAATTTACTGCTCACAGTTCTGGAGGCTGGATGTCTGAGGTTAGGGTCCCAGCGTGGTCAGGTTCCGTGTCTGGTAAGAGCCTACTTCTTGGTTTGTTTCGAGTTGCCCTCTTGTTGTAACCACTCATGGTGGAAGGGCAGGGAACGTTCCCGGGCCTTTTCTTACAAGAGAACTGTTCCCATTCATTAGTGGTCCACCCTCATGACCTAATCACCCCCAAAGTCCCACCTCCCAGTACTGTCACCTTACACATTAAGTTTCAACATGTGAATTTTGAGGAGAATACACATATATTAATAGTTCGTTGCTTTTTATTGCTGAGTAGTATTCCATGGTTGTAATTTATCACAGTTTTTCAGTTCACCCATTGAAGCATGTTTGGGTTCTTTCCAGTTTGGAACTTTTATAAATAAAGCTGAGAGATCAGTATATCAGTTTTCCTATTTGAAATAGTTCTATTTACTGCAACATGTTGTTTGTGAACTGCTCTAAGGATATAGCCTCAATAAAAGAGGAAGATGTGGTCTTGTTCATTTTTTGTTTTAAAATGTTTGGGATATTAAAAGATATATTCAAAAAGGAAGAAGAAGCAAGGCCCCTTTAGATTATTTCTGTTTTCTGTATATACCTGAGCCTTATCTAATAAAGAAATAATAAATAAAGAAGTTGAACGCCTTTTCATGTGCTCATTAGCCATCTATCCATCTTCTTCAGTGCAGTGTCTTTTCCTGTGTTCTAGTGGGATTTTTGTTGTTGTTGAGGTTTGAGAGTTCTTTCTGCATTCTAGGTAGTGCTGGTCCTTTGATATGTGGTTTGCAAGTATTTTCTCCCAGTCTGTAGCTTTCCTTTTTATCTTCTTAATATTGCCTTTTGCAGAGCAAGTTTTTAATTTTGATACTATTCAATTTATAAGTTTTTCCTTTTATGGATTGTGCTCTTGATGGCAAGTCTAACAACTCTTTGCTCAGCCCTAGATTCTTTTTTCATAAAAATGTTATAGTATTATTTTATATTAAAGTCAATAACCAGCTTGAGTTATTTCTTTATATAAGATGTGAGTTTGTGTCATCATTTTTTTTTTGGCTTAGTGGGTACCCTAAGTAGTGATTTCAAAAGCAGTAGTGCCTTCTCAGTCTGAATCCACATTGAGTCCCATAGGAAGGGTGACTGGTGGGTCGTGAACAACTTGTGAAAGTCAACCACTCCTAAGGTGTAGAGTTAGGGAGGGCCCTGAAACTGGGAAGGCAAGATCAAACTGTTCTGAAAAAAAACAGCATATTTTTTCAGCTCACAAATGTCAAAGTTAACTGTCATGCTTGCTTTGATCTCTTGTAAAAAGTATTCTAACAATGAAGAGCAAAGGATATCAAAAAATGAAGGGTGACCTTAGAAGCACAGGGAATAGCAGGAGAAGGGCAAAAATCAGTGGTCAGTCAGCGTGATTATTTGCCAGGGATAGAGAGAGAGAGAGAGAGAGAGAGAGAGAGAGAGAGAGAGAGAGAGAGAGAGAGAGAGAGAGAGGAAAACAGACAAACCCATAGTTTATAATGCAGTGGCAGCCAAAAATGGTCAACCGATTAAAAGCAAACAGCAAACAACAACAAAACCTTCGTTATCAGAAAAAGGCAGCCAAAGTCCTAAGTCTTTTCAAATGCCTCCTGGCTAAACTGTGGCATTCCCTACAATCAGTTACTGATAAAACCTACACGAAAGCCGGCTCCTGACCACTGAGGGCGGATTTCTCTGGAGCAGTGTGTTTGAGGGCAGTGTCATGAGATCTCCAGAGAAGAATGTGAAGTCAGGCCGAGGGCATCTGCCTGCTACCACACTACATATCTGAAACCCTAACCATTGCTCTTAAAGTCTGTTCACTCCTCCCCCCATGCCTTTTCCCTTAAGAATAGTTACTGGGAAGTAGCCTGTTTTCTCAGGGTACTATTTTACCCTGTGTTTTCATCAACATCGTGTGATTGTTGTGCTTGGGAAATAATCTTTTACCTTCCTCCTTTGTTGATGTTTCTCTTTCCCTCTCTGAATTCAACATCAAAGAAAGATAAGTCTAAAGGACCTTATTTTAATAATTTTGGATTGAAATTAGCCATTTGAGGATCACACAGTACTTCCTCTTTTTTTAAGATTTAATTTATTTATTTTAGAGAGAGGAGAAGGAAGGGAGAAAGAGAGGGAGAGAAACATCAATGTGTGGTTGCCTTTCAAGTGGCCCACACTAAGGACTGGGCCCACAACCCAGGCATGTGCCCTGACTGGGAATCGAACCAGCAATCCTTTGGTTCGCAGCCCGCACTCAATCCAGTGAGCTATACCAGCCAGGCAGTACTTCCTAAAGAGTTTATTTATTTATTTTTAGAGAGGGAAGTGGGGGAGAAAGAGAGAAAGAGAGAAACATCAATGTGTGGTTGCTGGGGGTCATGGCCTGCAACCCAGACAAGTACCCTGACTGGGAATCGAACCTGCGATGCTTTGGTTTGCAGCCCACACTCAATCCACAGTACTTCCTTTTTTATAATTTATCTTGAAATTTGCCTTTGTAACTCCTAGATGGAAAGTACATTCATTCTAGATAAACCCTAAGGGGTTTGAGGATCTCCTGGCCTGGCCCACCTGCTTTTCAGGATCTTCAGTGTTGTTTTGTACCAGTAGTTTATTCCAGATTGAGCAATTCATGAGACATTCTTCCATGCATTTCCAAAGAATTTGTACGTACAACATTTTGTTATATACATGTCTATCAGTTCCTTGATACTTGGTAGGTCTTGAAACCAAATGAAAAACTGAATTATTAAAGCAAGTCATGCTCGCTGACCTGTCCTCTGGAGTGATCATTATTTCCCGTGGCCCCTGTGCCCTCTTCCTTCCTCTTGCAGTTAAAGGCAGGCGTTTTCTTCTGCAGTGCCTCGTGGGGCTCTGTTCCCCACTCATGCTGACATTACTTGGCTTTGCAGAATTTAGGACCCATTTAGTGACTTTTCTGTAGATCCCTTTACACTGTTTGTATGTATG